GCATCGGGCTCCCTGCTCAGCGGGAAGCCTGCTTCTCCCTCTCCCACTCCCCCTGCTTGTGTTCCCTCTCTCGCTGTCTCTCTCTCTCTATCAAATAAATAAATGAAATCTTAAAAAAAAATAAAAATGCCCACTGATGAATCCGGTTTGAGATAGTGTAAGGCGCTCTAAAGAGTGAAGGCTTTGGAGCCTAATCTGCTAGGATTTGAATACCAAGCCCCATCACTTACTAGCTGTATCACCTCAAGCTATCCTTTCTAGGCTTCACTTTTCCCATTTGTGAAATAGGGGTAATAAACTGTATTAGTTTCCCAAGGTTGCCAGGCATGACCACAAACTTGGTGATTTAAAACAACAGGAATCAGGGTGCCTGTGTGGCTTAGTTGGTTAAGCGTCTGCCTTCGGCTCAGGTCATGGTCTCAGGGTCCTGGGATAGAGTCCCGCATCGGGCTCCCTGCTCAGCGGGGAATCTGCTCCTCCCTCAGCCTGCTGCTCCCCCTGCTTGTGTGCTCTCTCTCTCTCTTTCTCGCTCTCTGTCAAATAAATAAATAAAATCTTAAAAAAAAATAAAAGGAATCTATTCTCTTCTAGTTCTGGAGGTCAGCAGCTCAACATCAGTTCACTGGACAGAAATCAAGGTGTTGCCAAGGCCAAGCTTGCTCTGGAGCGTCTAGGGGAGAATCTATCCTCTGTCCCTTCCAGGTTCTGGTGGCTGCCACCTTTCTTTTGCTTGTGGCTGCATCGTTCCACTCTCTGCCTGTCTTCACATCCCCTTCTCCTCTTCTGAATGTGTAATCTCCCTACATCTCTCTCTCTCCTAAGGACACCTGTTATTGAATTTAGGGCCCAGTTGGATAATACAGGATAATGACAATAATAATGATGATGATGATTTTTAACTTCATCACATCTGCAAAGACCCTTTTTCCTTCTAAGGCAATATTTACAGGTTCCAGAAATTAGGATCCACTATCTTTGGGTTGCTATTATTCAGCCTGCTGGAGTTAACTATACCTAAATCAAAGGGGGGGGGCCTTTGGAATTAGATATTTGGATATTAGATATTTAGTCAATAAATATTAGTTATTTATTGTTATATGAATCTATTTTATTTTCCCTAAAATGTTGAGACTTAAGATACCAAGTTAGTATTTCACACCCCACACAGTAGGTGCCTCATAAAAATGAAAAGATATTAATCTCCAAAAACTATTAGGATCTTAAACTGTGTGGTTACCGGCTTGAAAACTATTCTTGCTCTAAACTAACATGTTCGGCAGTGAAACCAGATAGGTGGTAAAGGCATAATTTTTTGTGGATATTGCACACTTCGGCCAAAGTGATCTGATCTCTAAATAGTCCTTAAAAAGAAAAAATAAAATTTCCTTTTGACCTCCTTGTTTTCTTTTTTCTCTCTTTCTCTTTTTTTAAGATGAGAAAAAAGCAGAACTTGTGCTAAAACACGATTACCTATTTAAAAACACTATTTTTGAAACTCTTGCCTTAGGACATGGCCAATGCGTTATTTGGATTTAGAGTGTTAAAAAAATCTTAGAGAATCAGGCATATTATGACTCAGTGGAAGCACGTTAATGAACGGCTGTGTAATAAACTGTCTCGCCCGAGCCTCCTGCTATTTTTTACACCATGTTAATACTGATGCAAATTGACTAGGGCTTCAGTGCCTGGGAGTGGGGGTGGGGGGGTGGGGGGGGCTCTGGGAATATTGCTCCCCCTCTCCCCCCCACCTCCAGTCCCTCCTCTGCCAGGCCCTGCCATTAATCACCACTTGCCTGTCTTGAGATCTCCCACGGTTTGGTCACGGCTCCAAGGTCACAGGCTGTCATTAACATTGATCTGAAAAACAGAACCAAACAAAACAGCCTGAATAATCTTTTGTTGCATTCTTCCTAAACAAATCCGTCCTAGATACATAAATAAATAAAATGGGACCGAGGCCAACTCTCACGTGTCTTTCCCTCAACAAGGGAAGCACTGTTTACAGTCCCCATGTTTAGCATCTCCATCATGTGGCCACACTGCTTAGGAAGACAAAGCTCGCACACAGCCTCAGCCTCGGTGGCGGCCCTTTTGTTATGTCTGCAGCGGATCAAGGAAGGCAGAGAACTACTTTCTCTATACCGGAGCTAAGCAAGCTCTGCTTAAAATAATCTCTAATGGACAATGTTTTTTATTTTTAACTAGCGGCAAGGGAATCAGCATATAAGACCATATACATAGCTGATGAATCTCTTCACCAACTTATCGCTGATTGATGGGAATGGATGGAAACCTGTAGCAAAGAGGCGAGGCGCACGCTACCCTAGGAGCTCCTTCATTTCCACCTGCTCTACGGAGCTAAGATTTACTGGGAGAGCCACACTGTTTCACTCCAGTTTATTACCTGGCTGCAACCATGTTTTATAAGCATTATGAAGAAGAAACATATTCAGCAGCAGCTTTCATTAATTTGAACACATAAGAAAGCACAGGAAGATCTGAACCAGATCTTTGAGGGGCAGATTTCTACTGGGTTTAACTAGAATTCACCCTGAACCATGGATATAAAAACATGGGGGACAATTTAAATTGTGGATAGCTCTGGTGCTTATCATTTGATGTGATGAGGAGGTGGGAAAAACAAGGCACACCCTTTGTCCAAAATTTGCTTTCTTTGTACTATAAGCCAGCAGGATGTGATGAAAAGCGATGAAGGATTGGAGTCGAGAGACCACATCTTGGTTGGCTCCTTTTGGAAGAAAGGGGTGTGTTGTTAGAGGTCAGGGGGCTGTCCTGATGTCGGGTGGTAACATTTCCTACCCTGCCGGACTCGAATGCTTTGGAAACATGTCTGTTTCCCAGATGGCAGAGCATGATGGTAGTGGGGTTTGTGTAACTTCCCCAGGAAACCCCCCCAGGGAACAGGGCAGAGTGGCAGGTAACAATAGGTCATTCAAAGCCCCGCCAGGCATGACGGCCTCAGCAGCCTCCTCCACGAGTTCGGCAGCATCTAATCCCAAACCCCCCTGTGCTAAGCACTACGCGGAACAATGCAGCGGTGCATTCTTCATATTTGATCTTCTGTAACAAGCACACTGCTGTGTGCCGGCCTCTGTACTAAGTGCTGACCCCTAACTACTAATAAATGAATCTCCTGAACCCTCAGAAGGAGGGGCCTTTACTCCCATTTTATAGAGAGGTAAAAGGAAGCACGGAGAGATGAAGTAACTTTCCCAAAGCGAGTAAGGAGTCAGGATTCTGTGTTTATCACAAAGCTACCAGACCCCCTCTTGCTACACTCAAATGCTTCTCCTTTTAGGTTCTGCTGGTACCGGAGGGAGACAAGACTGGAGGTAATGCATTGAACTTTACAGTCACTCTCCTAGACAGGAAATAATCTCTATGAGGTTGCTTACTTATACTATAACTTGGACAATGATTTAGCTTTCATCTGCTTGATAATTCGAGGCTTACTTCTCAAATTCATGTCACCATTCATCAGTCAATCAACAAGTGTATTGAGTATCTAGCTAGGTGCTCAGTTAGTGATCATTCTAATAGCGACCATTAATCGAGCAAGCACTACAGAGTGATCTACATAGCCTCTAGGTGAGGTAGGGATACTATTATTACCTCCATTTTACAAAGCAAATTAGTGTTTTGCATTCCTTGATCAGACAGGTAGAAAGTTTGCCAGAGGTTACACAGTGAGGAAGTATCAAAGCTGGAGCCAGAATCCATAAAGTCTGACAGAAGGGTCTCTATTTTCAATGAATGCTCTACAGTGGAGCAGGAAGTCCATACTGAGAAGGAAGACAGAAAAAGGCTGGGAGCGAAGATGGGGGCGGGGGAGTATGAAACTTTCATCCAACTGGCACTGGGGAGTCTGTTAAGGTTGGGGGTTCAGAAAGGACCTGGCTAGACGTTCCAGGCAGAACTTTCGGTGGTGGGTGTGAAAAGAGTTTGGAGAAGAAGGGAAGCAGGGGGACCAGTTGGAAAATATCAACTGATAAGGGCCTACAACAAGGAAGGGCAGGAGAATGGAAAGGCAAGGAGAAGGCTGAGAGATTCCAGAGGAAGAACCAAAGGGGGTGAATGAGTAGTGATAGTGTATTGTTTAGATGCCTCTAGAAGTGAAAGGTCTTTTCTCGAGTCAGAGAGGAGGGAGGAAGTTACTCCTGAGGTCCGCATACGTCTCGTTCAGTCTGCGGTGGGGATGTGCAGCTGCACGGCGCGCTGAGTGAATGAATGGTCAGCAGCACGGAGCGTACAGCCAGCTCTGCGGCCGGCGGGGCTGCATGCGGAGTATCCGACGCTCTCCGCAGATCATTTTTATCGCACCTCCCCTCTATGTGCCAAGTCATTTCAACAACAATCTTGGGTGAACCATCATTTTCTTGATTGGTTCTCGTTTTAAAACAATTAGCAATGAAAAAGAATCCATTGTGATTTAAAAAAATAGATTCATAGTCAGTAAAATAGTTCACGTATGAGCTGCATTTGGCACTCACCAAACAAAAAATCCCACCTCACGCCTTGCCCTCTGCGTCACGGTTTTAAATTTTAAGACACAAATAAAACGTCCAAATGGTCAACACAAAATGACAGAAGCGAAGTAAGTCGAGTTATGTTTTTTCGTCCTTGCCGTTACTGCGCTATCATTGTTTCTTCCGGATTACTGTTTGAAAGCGGGGATGTGAAGCTGGGTAGGCGGGAAGGCACCAACTAGCCGCGGAGCCAGCGCGAAAGGAACTTAGACTTGAAGTGGGCACTGCGCCCACCGGGGTCAGCTGCTGACGGGGTCCCCACGCACGTCCCCTGCGCATGGGTCCCCGCGCACTCTCGCAGTGAACTTACAGGTACACGTGTACAACTAAAGGGTAAGTGATTAGGTGCTCATCTGAAGTTTTCATATCAATTATTTTGATACTCAACAGTAAACTCAGCAATTGTTTAGGACTTCTACCAACACAAGATTTTTCTCGGGGAGAAGTAGCTTATCGTTGACATTGTTCAGGCTGTAGGCACGTGGTGATGAGAAAAATCAGACCGACTTTTAGTTGGTTTTATTGCTATTTTCAGGTTCTCTAACACGGTGGTCCCCCGGAGCCCCCCTGCCCCTCGGTGCCCGTGGTCGGAGTCTAACCATGAAATTGGGGAGGGAAGGCAAAGCCGGGGGAGGGGGCGTGGAGAGCTCCAGAGCACCTCTATTTTACACACTGTGCTTCCAGATAAGATTTTTCTTCCATTTGGGGTTCCCTACCAAAAAGCGTTTGAAAACCTCTGTAGGAAAACACCCGGGTGGAGATGTGGAATGAGCACGGACATTTTAGGAGTTGTGCTCAGAAGAGAGGCCAGGCTGGAGAGATAGGGCAGGAGTCATGTGAGAAGGGGTGCTTGTTAAAGCCACCAGGAGGCTGAGGAACAGGAGAGGAATCTCAAAAATAGGTCCTCGGGGGTCCTTGCCTTTCAGGGGTGGTGGAGAGGGGAAGGGCTGGAGAAGGACAAAGGAGAAGCAAGAGTCAGAAGAGAGTAGAAAATCTAGAAGCCCAGGGCTCGGCAGCCTCCAAAGACCAGGAGAGCTTCCAGACAGAAAGGCCAGTGCAATGAGGGGCTGTGATGAGATCCGGGGAGAGAACAAAGGCCCTAGAATTTGATCCTTGGGAGGTGACTGGTGACTTTCAAAAGGAGCTGAAGTCACATTTCATAGACTGAAGGCCTCAGTAGAGGAACGGCTAGCTACTCTGTGGTAAATCCATACTTTGGAGTATTGTGCAACAGTAAACACTGATGACGTACGGACACGGAAAAAACTCCAAGGCATACAGTTGAGTGAACAAGCCAGTTCAGATGGATACATAGTATGTAAATTATGTTAAAACAAATAAACAAGTCCACACTCAACAGTATTTTTTCCTCAGAATATACACGTAGATAAGTGCTTTGGAAGTGGCTGGAAAGGATACAGCAAATTGGTAACAGACTGTATGGCCGTGCTTCGGTATGGTATGGGAATTGGGAGTGAAGCCCAGGGGACGTCTGGCGGCTCATCTGTCATGTTTTCATTTGCTACAGAAAAATATATTCCTATAATTACTTGTGGAACTCAAAATTATTTAAAAAGAAACATACTGCCTTGCAAGAAGTTAGGAGGAGGGTGAGTCAAGTGTGGACCTGAAGAGAAAACGGGGACTATGAATGGACCTGGGGAAGAAGGCAGATTTTAGGCATGATATTTTTGCCTGAGGAGATAGAAGCATATTTTTAGGCCTAGTATGGTCATGCTGGAAAAAAGCAGATTTTGAAAATGCCAAAGGAGCATAATCAAGAAGGCAGGTTCGGGGCGCCTGGGTGGCTCAGTTGGTTGAGCGACTGCCTTCGGCTC